AAATTTAATATAATATATAATAAATTATATAAAATTAAAATTAAATAACAATAAATCAAATTTAGAATTAGAAACTTGAAATTAACTAATTAAAATCTAAATATCCAACAACACAAATAAATTAAATGAAGAAGATGACTTAAATTTAGAATTTTAGATGATTAAATCAAATTTGTCCCGAATTCTCGATTAAAATGTTGATTTGTGATTGGGTTGTGTGGGTCGTAGGCTTTTAAAATGAAAAATGAGCTTAATTTATGGATTATCTAGTCAAAACTCACTAATCCAAGATGAAAAACCCAAAAGAAAATAGGCAAAAAGTCCAACTGCCAAACAGAAGGTAAAATCGAGATTTTACCTGATTTCACAGTAAAATCAGAATTTTACCTGATTTTAGATTTTAGTATAGATTTTACACGAAATACCTTACTGAAATCGTAAAATCGTAAGATTTTAAGATTTAAATCTAGATTTTGACAACACTGGTTAGGATGTTTGTAAGCTAGCTTACCTGTACTTCAAAACTAATTTCTCCTTAATCTATTCAAAGACAAATCATTCACACTAGAACTAGAAAATTTATGTGGAGTTACCTTTTTATTGGCCTTTTCAAGAAATCAAGTCTTGATAAATAAAGTAAAAAATAAACCCGCTTACCAACCAAGCCATAACTCTTTGGGTGAGAACCCTTTGGTACTCCTTCAATTGAAGCACTAGGTTCCGCTCCAATCCAAGGAGCTACTTCTTTATCCAGTTTTAGCATGCTAGAGGGTTGAATTGACAATGAATGTACAGAAGAGGCTTAATTGCAAAATCCTTTATGTACAGGAGCTAATTAGGAGTTTTTCTTTCTAATTGAATTCACATTCACTATTTTCCTTTCTTTTGTTGCGACAAGAAAGAGTGGGAGTATATTCAAAACCAACTATCCATATATTGTATTGCTATGTATTGGACCACTATCTTCATGTCAAAAATTGAAGAATTCATCAATTGAATATATTAATAAATAAATGTTATCTTATAAATAAAATTTAAAATTCAAGTCTTAAGTTTACTATCTAAAAAATTTAATTTTTTTAAATGTATCATGTCAATATCATAAATGTGCCTTAAGATAAGTTAGTTTTGAAACTCATAAAAATTGATTAAAAAAAAATATCCTGATAGTAAAAAATAAAAAAAAAATAAAAAAAAAATCAAAGAATCACATAAAATAATGTCCTTTAAGAGATTCTTATGCACCAAAAGGGTCCTTGCATCTTAGGGTAAATATTTATAGGGAGGCCTCTGTGTGGATTAATATGCACCTTTTCTTACACAACAGACACACTGGGTGGAGAATGGTGTGGGAATTGAGAGAAGCTACGGCGGCGGAGGATGGAGGTGGGATCAGTGGCATGATCAGTGGTGTTTATCTGGTCATTTGGGCAGCTCTGCTCAGCCTCTGTATAATCTCGGCCATGATCTTCTCCTGTGAGCAGGGGATGTCCAAGAACGACAGAACCGGAGATTCGAATCTTTACGGTGGAGGGTGTGCTGCTGGCTGCGGTGGCGCAGAATGTGGTGCAGGCTGTGGAGGATAATTCCTAGTATACTCACTTCACTTCTTTTTCCGATAAATTCCAATAACCTTGGTTAGTTCTTACGGCAGCTATCCAGTACAATTTTTGCAAATGAAAATTACGGCCGAATGATCCTGAGAATAATAGTAGACCAATAAATCATCCTGTTTCTCTCTTAAAAGAGAAAATCATGTAAAATTCAACATTTTACCTTTTTTATACATTAAAAATTAATTACTTAGCATTGCAAAGGTTAGAACTGAACTCGATTCTAACAAATTTAAAGTTCCTCTCGATGGAGAAATCATGGAAAAATCAACCATTTCATGTTCATAAATTACAATAATTGGCAGAACAGCTAAGGCGGATCACGTCTACGCCAATTACTCGAACCAATTAAGTCACCAGAGGAATTCGTTGTTCGGGGCAAAACATCAAAATCAATGTCGGAAAATGAAGAATATTCCGGTAGAACTCGCTTACGCGACCCGCAAGAACAAGCCCAATCCGCGGCGGTGCGCACGGCACGCCACCCAATCTTGCACGGAAGCATAATGAAACACCAAACGACGGCAATCGGGCACGAAACACAGCAAACGCAAGCGCTGCAAGCAAACTCCGTCACTTGATCGGCGCACTTCGAATTCCGATCCTTCATCCGGTGGGATGATGATCTTGGGTTTTCTTGAAGGACGGTTTTCCTCTCCATTTGGCTGGGAATCTCGCGATTTTGACTCTAATCATGTAGCGGGAGCAAAATTTAGCAGACGACTACCGATCTGAAGGCAGCTTCAAGATTTGTTTTCCTGGTTTTTTTGTGTAAGCGATCTTGATCTTTGTGTACATGATGTTTTCTAAATTTTCTATAAAATTTAATGCAATAAGAATAATAATAAAATGAAAATGAAAATGGTGCCAAACATGCATAATCAAGGTAGTGCAAGGGGGCTAAACTATTATAACTCCTTTAAAAAATATGGTTTAAAAAAAAAAAAAAAAAGAGTAGTGCGAGGGGAGAGATGGGCCGCTTTCTTTGTTCTTAATTTTAACTTATTATTATGGTGCCAACCATAAATATTTTTTAACAATAAAAATTAACATAAATTCTATTTAAATATTTTATTTATATTCTCTTTATTCAATAATAACTGTCGTTTGTTTTATTTGTTTCTAAAATTTAGGGATTATTTATATATTTACTTGTATTATCCTTAAAAAAATTAAAAGATAAAGTAAGACGTTTATAATAGATAATTAATCAAAATAAATATATATAATGATAAGATAAAAATAAGAAAAAAATATTTATCTATCTTAAATAATGAAAAAATAATAATTAATTTTAGACAAACTTAAAGTAAAAAAATAATAAATATTGTAAAATAGAGGGAGTAGTTATAACTCAAAATATACAACTTATTTAAATTAGCTTTTTAACTTTGTTAAGTTTTCAAGTTATTATATATATTTAAATTTATAAATAAATATATAATATAATTTTTAATTTTAAATTGAATATTCATGACTAGTACATATATAATCATATAACTTGAGATCAAACTCCTTTTTTTTTTTTATCAAGCTTAATATTAATCTTGAATTCGATTTGTTTATCAATGAGTCAAGCTCAAAACAAGATTAATCCAAATAACTCACGAATTACTCACAGACTACTTTAGAAACAATTTATGGTGTTACTCTTAAATTGAAGCTCTAAAATAATGAGAAATGTTGTTACTAAATTCAAATAGCGGAACCATTAATGGAGAATTTCACTTGAATTGAGGCCTATTTGGAATTGTTCTAGATTTTCATATCTACTGTTGTAAAAATAAATAAAATTGGAGTAATGATTTAAATTACTAAAAAATATAAAATATTGTTTAAAATTAATTAATTGTAATAAATTTATATTTTATATAAAGGTGTTATGTGAAAAAGTGCCCCATGTACAAACATTTCAAATAAAACCTGACTTACCACAGATGTGAGAACATGGAGAATTGGGCACAGTCAAGAGGAATAACAGTTTTTGCAGGGCTTAAGTAAATGGATCAAACAATGGGTTGGCCCAAGGCTTTCAAAAACAATGAGGCCTTTTGGGTTTTGTGAGTATTTGAACGTTAATGAAACAAATTTGATATAAGACTTACATGTAAGTTAATTTTAATTCTATGGAAAGATAAGTTAATGATATGAAAATAATTTCTTGGTATTATTTTTTTATACAACATCTACATATTATTAAATAAGTAGAAATATATAATATCATGGATCTCAATCGAATAAAAATAACTAATCGTTAAGTAACATGTATATGTTCAGGTTGAGGGTAATGAAGGGGAAGAGATGTGAACGTTTTTTAATCAATTACATTATAATATTTATAAGACATTATAATTTGATTGGTAAAAAATTCTTCTTTCCCCCTCTCATTCCATCCATTCCTCTCAAGCCAAACATACAAATAAAATTATACAAAAAGGTTTTTTCTAAATCATTTTTAGTAAAGATATTATTTTTTGCAAATGTATCAATAATACTCACATTATCACGTGAAGTAATGACACAAAATCAATAATATACTTACATTATCACGTGTATAAATGAATTGTT